TGATGGGAGGTTCAAGCAACAAAACCGAGGTAGCAGCTCCTAAAATGGGGTCGTTCTACCGAATTCAGAACTGGACATAAGTCGGAAGTGCAGGATCTTTTGTAAAAATGATAAGCTTCGGTGGTATCCCCAACAACAGCCGCAACGTTTTATTTTTACAAATCTTTCTGAAGCGTGCTGCGAAGCCAAGCGCTGGAAACACCTCAGCTGGGTTCCCGTGAATTAAATTGCCGCAAATCCTGTTGAACCTGGCCTGTGCACCAAAGCCTCCCGGAACAAGCCTCCCAGACCTTCTCCGGAACTTTCTCCGGAACCTTCTCTGGAGACTCTGGAACCTTCTCCGGAACCCTGTTGAACCTGACTTGGCTTTGCACCAAGGCTTCCTGGAACCTTCTCCGGAACCTTTTCCGGAACCCTTTGTAACCTGACCCAGACCTTCTCCAGAACCTTTTCTGGAACCCCAGCGAAGGTGACCTGGCTCTGTACCAAAGCCTCCCAGACCTTCTCCAGAACCTTCGGAACCTTCTCCGGAACCTCGTTGAACCTGACCCGGCGCCTGCACCAGTGCACACCGGGGGCTATTTTGGGCTGAAGACCCCATTAGCTTACACTGTTGGGGAAAAAAATTGTGAAAACTTTGTTGACCAAGGATAAACTTGGGATTTCACTGATTTAAAAAAAAACGTCGAGCACCGAGGCATTGGAAATTTGGAATGCCCCATCTTTGAAGGAAGACAAGCGACCTGAGGCCGAAGCTGAAATGGCCTTTAAGATGAAGGTTTTTCAGCAACAACAATGGGGATATAATTGAGATTTATAGGGATATAGTTGGGATTTATAGTTAGGGATATAGTTGGGATATAGTTAGGATAGATCTTTTTGATGAATGATGTTGTGACCTCACTGGGACATCACTGGAAGGATGATTTATATGATGGTGAGGAAGGAGAATCATCCACAGCTAGATGGTTGCTTAGATACACCTTCCGTACCCAAAGCATTGCTTGTGATGCCGCTTTTCTTGGTGAAATTGTTGTGCAGTTGTCTACCCCAGCTATGAGTCTACTCGTGCAACCACCTACCCCACTCTTATGCCCTACAAAAATCGTAGATTCTCATGAATCACCAGAGGTTGAAATCATTATCAACCACCAGCTGTCAGATTTGTTGATAGTTTTATTGCCTCAGCCTGTTGCTAATTACTATTGCTAATCAATCCTATCATTAGCTGTTGGATCTCCAATTGGATCGCCATTCCCAGCCCATGGCAGGCTGTTGAGTTGCATGATTTGGTGGAACGGATGTTGGATCTGACGATCCTAAGCAGCAAAGAATGGGGGACGTTTGATCCATGATCTAACTGGGAGGATGTGGAGGTGTCCTAGGTCAATAGCTGGATGGTTTATTTCATGGAAAATCCATCAATGGAGGAAGCGATGATTATTTGCTAGTTCTGCGTGTTTTTTGGTTATTCCTCCTTGTTTGGGATGATGGTTCCATATTGACATGTTTTCAAGAGTCGACATCACCAGATAAGGATGGAAATGTTGGCTGTGAAAATGTGGAGATGTGGCAAAAAGTTTGGGATGGAACCGGAAGACAGAGATATTTTTGTCGCGGCTACAAGAGAAAAGCACATATAGACTCTTAGACCTATATAACCGTATCTTCCTTCCTTTATTCTACTTGCACTAGGTATGTAACTGCACGTGCCTGTGCCACTTTTGTGTCCAACTTCCACTGATGGCTGACTAGGATCAACCAAGGGCGCAGAGTGAGTGACAACGATTGTACGTAGCCCAAAATGGATGATTTATAAGGGAAAATCCAATTAAAATTGATGATTTAGGGATACCCCTATGTTAGGAAACTTCCATATGGATACCAAGCATCAATGATACCCCATAGAAAGTACCCATTGAACGACTCGTTCCGACCAGCTACAGCTTGACACCCCACTGCGAATTATAAGTGGACAGCTCACAAGATTGGTTCGATACTTGGCAAACCTTGGTGAAAGGGTTGTTATTGGTTGTTAGGACCAAAACCTTCATAGAGCTGTTTTGTTCCAAGATTCGCCATATCAGACCACAGATCACTAGGCTTCGCAGGACATCCCTACAGTTTGGATCATATTTGGATCATATTTTGTGTAAAGTCACGGTTTTCCGCAGGATTTTCCCCAAAAAAATTGAGGAACGGTACCAAGCCCAAGACCAGCGCGGAAGCGAAAGCAGCGGCCAAAGACGAAAGCAGCAAACAGGTGCAGTTGTTGCTGCTGTTTAAGTAACAAACCTGGGGGTTATGGATGTTTATAGTAGATATATCTGATATATATATATATATATGATTATATGTATGTATATACGTATTCAACTAGTGGGATTATAATTCGCCACTTTTTTTGACAAACCTAGCGTTTATAGTTGATATATCTATAGTTAATGGGATTCTAAAGCCACGTTATAAGCAGCATAACTAGGTTGGTAGATATATCGAGCTTGCTCATGGCATTATAAAGCCACTGATAACTGGGGGAAGCACCACCTTGTAGTTCTTTGCGGCATTTTGGTCGTGAAAAATCCATGAAATTCCTCAAAATTGTGTCTTTGGACTAGTTTGGTATTGAACAGGGAAATTTGAGACATATCCATGGAGGAAACCACCGCATTTGGTGAGTTGATTTCTGGCAGCACGACCTTTGTTCCTTTCTGACCTGGCTTTTGGGGAATAGTTCAGCAAGTGCAGCTCAGGCATACACAAAACAGTTCCGCCAGATAGTGATGTAACATTCATTTACCATTTAATTTGTGGTAATTAAATAATGAATGGCGGTTCCCACCCGAAAAATGAAGGTGGTTTTCCGCTGGAGAAATCATCGAACTGTGGGATTTTTGTCCAGCCACGACCTCACTCCGTCCTAAAAATGTCAATTTGGTGAATGGTGAAATCCAGAATATGATGACTGGTTGGTGGTTTGGAATTGGAACATTTTTTTATTTTCCATTTCATATATGGGATGTCATCCTTCCCATTGACTTTCATATTTTTCAGAGGGGTAGGTATACCACCAACCAGATGAATATGGAACTTCCAACACCTCGGGATTTTGGATGTTGCTGAACCGGACCAACTGGGCAGCTGAACAGCCTGGGCTGTGGCCCCGACCCGAACACTATGCCAAACAAACGTCGGATAGAATGTCAGAATATCAGAATATGATGTCAGATAGAATGTAAGCCAAATGTCGGATAGAATTTTTAAAAATGAAAGATAGAATGCCAGATGCAAAGCTAGATAGAATAAGGCCAGACTGCCAGAATATATGTCTATATGTAAAAGATTGTCAAAGTATATATCAGAGAACATGGCAGAATATATGCCAGATAGAATGCCAGAAAATATGCCAGATAAGTTGTCAGCTAGAATGTCACAATATCTGTCACATAGAAGATCAGAAGATATAGCAGAATATTTGCCACATAGAATGCCAGACAAAATGCAGATAAAATGTCAGTTGGTGGGGATCACTTGAAGAAAGCAATTTAGCCTCATTTCAAGAGGCAAGAGTACCCCTCTTAATTGCCAAGGGCGTTCGAAAAAGGATGGAAATAAGGAATATAGTACCCAGCTAGAGATATATATTTCGTGCAGGCATCCAACCTGCGCAGGGCGTGGACAACAGTTACTAGTTGAGCCGCTTTCACGGCAACGGCTGGAAATTGATGCACTCTTGACAGCGCAAAGCGAAGAGATTTCTGGAGATGTGCACGTTTTTGCGAAAAAAAAATGGATGTAGATGGTTAGATCAGTATCATCAATTTTTTCACTACATCCATTAATTAGATATACATATCATTAATACCAGTAGTGCCGCACAAGGCGGTGGCGGAAGTTTCAAAAATGGAAAACCTATAGGAGAGGTGAGTTGGTGTGGCGCAAAAATGGCAGAGCGAACCCACTGATGGATTGAAAGGTGGTTGAGTGTTTCTGCCTTTCTGTCTCTTTTTTTCTCTTTCTCTCTGTGTCTCTCTTTCGCCATCTATCTACAGAGTTACCTTTCTAGCCATCTACCTACCTACCTGTCTATTCATGTATCTATCGTTCGGTTTGTTTATTCACCTAACTATTAAACTGTCCATCTTTCTGTCTATCCAGCCATTCATCCATCCACTTACTTCTCTGTGTTAGTTTTTTTTCCGTCCATCTCTTCATCGATCCATGTCCACAGCTATCCATCACCATGTTCTTCGTTCTGTTTCTCTATCGATTCATCCATGCATCTGTCCGTCTACCTCTTCTTCCAGTTTTCCGTCCATCTATCTAGCTACCCATGCGTTTATTTGGTCAACGACGCTTCTAGCGATCTTTCGATCTAGCGATCTATGTGTCCATCTGTCGATCCATCTACCTGTCTATTGATCGATCTGTCTCTCTATCTAGCCACCCATCTTTCGCTTTATCTCTCGATGTATTTATGGATCTTGCGATGCATCGATCTGTCTATGTATCCATCGATCTATTTACCCGTCTATCTATCGATTTGGCTATCAAATCCCATTGCACCTATCCCCTGTTGTGCTTCAAAAACCGATGCCTGCCAGAGCTTCCACTGCGTTATTTTCCTTCGTCGGCCTACTGTTGCACGATCGCTGTCGGAGACAAAACGGATGCAAAACGCAGACGCGACACGGATGGGTCAGAAAAAACACCATCATTCCAGCGTTCCAACGACAACACTGGTAACAACATGGTCACATGCTGCAAACCCGAGAGCGCGGCCAGAAAAGACACACGCTCCATTGAAAGTCGTGCTTCCAAAACTGGTACCTGCGAGAACTGCGCTACGGTTGCAGGTTTCGGAGACAAAACCGATGCAGAAAGCGGACGCCACACGGATGGGTCAGAAAAAACACCATCAGTCCAGCGTTCGAACGACAACACTGGTAACGACAAGGTCACGAGCTGCAAAATCGGCAGCGCGGCCAGACAAGACACACGCTCTATTGAAAGCGAAAACCGTCTGTTTCCGCGGACCCAGCCTCGTCCGGCTGCCGAAGACGAGATTTTCGCACTTCCATTTCGGCATGCTCCCACTCGGGATCATAGTGTTTACAGTCTCTCCAGAGATGAAGATACGCACGGCGTTCCTTCTCATCGTCCGTCCGCTTCAGAATGGGCCACGTGCTATGGTCTTTCAAAATCTTCGATACAAAAATGGCATCCGCAGAAGCAAGATGCTTCCGCAAGCACCGCCAAAGCGCCGCACTTTCACCAAGAACGTCCAGCAGATCCATTGCCTCCTCGGGCAGTGCGCCTGTTCTGGTCACGCACCGGTGCGTTGAGGCCGCGCTGCGCGAGCACGCAAGGCACCGGTCCCAGTCCCACGCACCAGTTCTCCACTTCTCCGGTTCAATGCTGGCCGGGAGTTGCTTATTCGCCACGGCCGCGACAGTGACGGGCAGAAAAACCACACCACAGGAGCGAATTTGTGCGCAAAGTCGCCAGTGCAAAATTGATAGTTGCGTACAGTCTCCATGTTTTGTTATGAACCAGGATGACTTTGTTGCATACAGAGTGCATTATGGCAGTTGGCGTACGTCACATGGGACATAAACATCATGCATTGTCTGGATGATGATACGTTCTGCGCCTCCAAAAGTGGTCCGAACCCCTAGTGTTTTGTTTTAACATTTTGACTTCGAAATGTGCTTCGCGCCACAACGGCGTGCACTTTTTCAACATCTCAACTTCCAAAAGTGGTCCGGTGCCCGGTGCTGAGGTGCTTTGTACATTTTGACTTGGAAATGTGCTTCGCGCCACAACGGCGTGCAACTTTTCATCTCTCATCTCCCCAGATGGCTCCGCACCCGCCGCTTTAGCGAGCTTACTTTTGGACCCTCCGGAGCCCCAAATCATTGGAAAAACACAGTGTTTCGCGACTTTCCTACCTTTTTGCGCATCTGCATCTGCTTTCTTCTGACTCTTTCTCTTCTACTCTTCTTTCTTCTGATCTTTCTCTTCTCTCTGCCTCTTCCCTGCTCTGCTTTTCATCTGTCCATATTGTCGGAAGTTTAACTTCTAAACTTCCTTCGATCAGTGATTAAATCACTATGTATATCAATGTATATCAGTATCTCAAATCATATTGCATCCCGAAGAGCTTTCCCTCCGAAACTTTGAGGTGACCTGGTGCAGTTCCAAAGTGGATATATTGGCATTGGCATAGGCTGGGACTATATCGGGTTATATCCTCATGGGGGTATAATCAATTGAAATTCTATATCATACTTGGAGATATATATATATATATAGATAGATACATATATAACTAATAACTTATATATATATAGTTATAACTAATAACATATATATATAACTCTAATTATAGCAACCCCATGTCCCAACTTACGGAGCTTCGAAACCCACTGACAATTGGGGATCCTAAACTTCTCCGAGCTATATGAGCCAGTCACAAAGAAAGGTGGGCGAGTGAGTTCACTTCTGGAATGTCAGAAAGGTGAGGTTCCAAAAAGCTTGAAGTCCAAAGAAACATGGGATACTGCAGATACCCCATGTTTTCTTATATCCCCATTTGATTCCCAGATCATGGTTGGTTTAACACCGGAGGAAGTCTCGCGGATTCTGGAGCTGCTTCCGGCAGCCACCATTGCGTACTACAGGTGGGAATTAATGGGTTAAAGGGAAAATCGAAACACGAAACCATCGATTTACCAGCGAAAACATAGCGGGGTGTCCAATTTTAGGATTGGATGGTGGGATTGTCGAAAAACAGTTTTGGGGATGGCCACCAAGAAATGACTGGGGGATTAAAGCATATTAAAACCAACTGGTAACTGCATGTAACTGCGGATGCTAAGCTGCGGGTACAGAACGGAAAGTCCAGTGAGTCGCTGGGCCCTGGAAACACATTTCTCATACTTGGAACATGGCAGGGAAACCCCCTAGGCATGGAGGTCTTAGTGGGAAATTCATCTATAAACGTGGCCTGGGATTTTCCGTGCCATGTTTGATTTCCAGAGGATACCATTCATATGTGTCGTTGTGAAATACCAGGGTTATCTTTTTTCCTATGGTAGCCATCCGATCAACCAGGTTTTACCCCGACAAACCAGAGGGCGAGTTGTCCAAGGATGGCATCAGCTGTCGCCTGTGATCCTTCCTTGGCTGTCTTCAAGTTGAATCACTCCTGGTCTTGCATGTCTATCAAGCACTGTAAGTTGTTGAAGTGGACTGGAACAGCAACATCGTGAAGCACATCCAAAATTGGCCGTCGAGAATTTAGGGATGTTGCCCCCATTTGGTTTTGTCCAAAAAAATACGGATACCTTAAAAGCGGCAATTTCAATCGAGAAAAATGGGAGAAAATGATGTTTCCAACCATTGGTTTCTTGGAGCAAGATGACCAAATCAGATCATAACCTGAGGTCCCCCAATCTTTTGAGGAGACCCCCAAAAGAGAAGGCCATGATAACCATGGTAATTATGTGTAGATTGCATTCCCTATTTGGTTTACATTATCCATGTAGCTTTGAGAATGGATACATCGTTACCATTGATACGCCATCGGGGATCAAGGATGCGCTTTGTCAGTGTCTTCGAGAAGCCACCGGTGAAGCGTGGCCTTTCGAGTACCGCAGCAACTTGGTGATCCCTGCCTTTACTACACAGACTTTTGGAGTTGGCTTTATGATGTTCTATTTGTATATCAATAGTTGACATCATATGTGTATATACTGTATATACACATAGAAGTGTGAGTATTATATCTAAGTGGTTTGGGCATGATTGGAATCCAATCTTGAAATCGTCATCATTGTAATGATTGATATCAAGGGGGAACGACAGAGGCCTGGGATCAGATTTTGGGATCGATTTTTCAGATGTAATCCCCTCAGAAGTTGGGAATTCAACTTCGCTGGATGTTTTCTGTGCTGAAATTGAATGGGATAGCTATGAATCATGCTCAGTTTGCCACAATCACAACGCGAAACAGTGAAGATTCAACCTATGACACCAGCTGGGTGCCTTAGCTTTGTGTCCAGTCACGATCTTTTTAGTGGCTTAAAGGTCGCCAATGACAGTCGCATCACCCATGATCCCCGCTGTTTCATGAGGTCTATGCAAACCTGGCGCTGTTGGCGGTGTTTGCTGCTTGACCGCATGTCGTGCTGTCAGAATGTGATCAACTGTCAAAATGTGCATTTGGTAGGTCCAAGGGTGGACTTCAGATTTGTTTTGTACATCAAATGATAGCAGAATGATACAATGATATACATATAATTATATAGTGATATGAATGATGCTATATCACGAGAGAATTCTGTTCCCTGCGCTTCCTGCCGTCCCAAGTGCGCCAGCGAGGCCAGAGTTGTAGCACCTCGATTGCTGGCAGCCGACAATCTCGATGAATTCTTTGAGGCTGTTCCAGCAGAAAGCACCAGGAATCAATGAGAAACCCATGACTGGGAGATGGGGGCAACATACCACCTATTATGGTGATGACTGGGGGATAGTTTATAATTGTTTTACCCACATTACTGTTCATGTCACTGAAGCTGCCGTGTCAATGTGCTGCAATCGTCCTAGGCCGTCCAGCCGTTGGGTGTGCCAGATCGTGCTTCCTTGCAACTTAGTCCATCTTTGAGTGCCGGCAACGACTGGGGATCCTGAAACTCCTTTGTTTTCTCTCTAAGATAAATCATTTTGCTGGATTTTGAGTCTCCCCATATCTTTGGAAATGCTCATATGTCATCAGTTGGGTTGTACAGATGTTTGCTGACTTCGAAACCAAAATGATTATGAAGTACATGTTGTGGCCACAGATGTGTTCGTTGGAAGTGGAATTCAACGAGTATGGCAGTCATGAGAAGAACCAGAGTCAAGCTAGCTTCCATTAAGTTTCAACTTGTGAACATTTCGCTGCACTCAACTGGATGATTAGATCTTTGAGTGTTGCATGAAAGAATGTGGCTGCAAACACATTGTTGAGGTGTGCTGGTTGAAACAGGGCTATCTTGAATGATTTCAGCAGCGTCCAAGGATGGGCATCCTTCAATCCATTGCTGACTACGACACTGGCTTGAAGATTTTGCTCTATGTGGCGATCTTCATCGTCGAAAAGTTGTCGCCAGTCTAAAGTTCATTGTTCCACCCAGGGTGTGCTGGTTGTGCTGCCAAGGTAGCTTTACAATAAGCAGCCATTCTTGCTTTGTCACTTACTTTTGACGTGTAGCTGTTGAACATGACGGTCTTCTGCCTCCATGGGTTCTGTCATATTTCTACCTGCAAATTGGCAAGTTGATTCTCAGGAAAGTGGCGCTCAAGTTTTGTGGTTGAATGTAGTCCTCCGCTTGTATTGTACCACTGGTTCTCATTAGTGCACCCCTGCCTAAAATTTCTGTCTGAGACCAGAACTTCGATTTGAGATCACTATCTTCCGCAGATAAACACCTCCAAAGAAAACTGGAGTTGCAGCATTGCATCTCGTCCATTTTTGTCCCATTTTATGGCCAGATGACCAGCAGATGGTGACGTGACCAGCAGGTTTATGCTCACGGAGTTTCTACCCATTCAGATCATCCTGAAGACCCTGGCGCCGATCATCTTCGGAGGCCGATCATCCCGTTGCCCCTGTGGCTAATGGCCCCAGGAATCTCCAGGTGTATTTGGACCTAGTGATGTTCATTGAATTCACTCCAGCTTCAAAAGTCCAGAATCAGGAGAGCATATTTCAGATTTTGATTCCAGATATCATCAGATATCGAAGAATCAACTTCTGAAACATCCCCAGTTGATCCCATCGGCTTTCCCCATCCGTCGAGGCTTGGTGCAGGGCGCCTTGGCCTCGGCGGCCACGGAGACCTTGGCGGCGTGTTGCAACTTTTTGATCGGACGCAACTTCCTGAAGGATCCGTTCCAATGATCGATGGGACGATGATGGGCTTTGGGTATATATATATATAATACGTAATGGTGATTAACAAACAATAGTGGTAAATAATGGTGTTGATGATGATGCTGATGATGATGATGACGATGATGACGATGACGATGACGACGATCATGATGATGATGATGATGATGATATGGTTTTTTGGGTGATGAAGATATGATGATCGTTCATGAATTGTCAGGATAGATGAAAAGTTCATGTCTCGTTACTGGGTGCTCGGACAGAATGTCGCTACTCGGTCATCCAGGATCAGTCAGGTTGGCATCGATAGCACCATCCCCACCATCCCCCGGGCGCAGCCAGGACCAACTGGAAGGTTTTTCCATCTTCGGCAGCGAACCCTTGGGAAAAGCTGAGTGGTTCGGCAAGTTGCAAAAGGCCGCGAAGGAGCCGGGAAGGGGTTGATGGCCTCCATGGTCTTGGATGCTAGGCATCAGGAAGAAGTGCAAATCATGCAAAATACAGGGTTTTCAAGATATGATGTTTTTTTGGAGAATGTTTGATTAAAGCAGTCGATTTTTTGCGAAGCCATTGAGGTGAAAGAAATAGTGATCACCATGGGTTTGACCTCTTCAAGTAACCCCCACGGCAGGAAGATGGCTTGCGCTTGGCACTGTTGCTGCGCTTGTCGCCAGTTCTGCCCATCCCCTTTGACTCATATTGGTGACCGTAGGGCAGTCAAAACCGTTCCCTTGAAGCCTCCCATGAAGCTGCTGTATTTAGAGTTCCTTCATGGTGAAGTAGTCGATCCATTCCCCCTGGCACTGGCCCTGCAGGTACCTGCTGGGTGCATTGCCATTGGCCCTGCCAGACTTTGCCATTGCCCACTTCGCTGCCTGCTTGAAGACGGTGCCAAGCAACGGTGTAACCATCAAATCATAAGGGTCGGGGGTCAAGAACTGGGATGATGGTTTCCAATGTTTATTTTGCGCAAGGATGATTTGTGACGAGCTTCAAGGGCAAAGATTGGGTGACCATTGCTGTGGGTCGGTCGCAGATTCATAGAGGCAACTACAGATCACAGCGACACATTGGGACACACCATTCGTGAAGCTGAAGAGTTTCTTGTCCCAAATCGAACCAAAAGCTCCCTATTGAAGAGCGTCAAAGCAACTCATCACATGGACGCATATGACTGCAGTCATGCCATGTGTTGTTGCCAGGCGTTCTTGGATGCGTATGGCTCTCAGAGCGTCTTGTGTCTCAGAGTCTATGGAGGATGTCACTAGTGTCGTGAAATAGCCCAAAGCTTGACATTTGAGTTTGGATACCATATTACCCCTATCACCATGTCCTCCTCACTCAGTTTGGAGACCATATCCTTTTCACCTGGAGCATGACGCATCGGCAAGTCTGGTTGGCAAGGTCCTTTGGTATGCTGCTGCTGACTTCTGTCGGCAATGATGGGAGCGTTGTGCAAACGCAGGCATTTCCAGCGATGGGAGAGAGATTTCCAATAACTTTTGAACTGCTGCCATCCGTGACACCGAATAATTACCACAAGATTCCCAGCATACTGCCAGTAGTTTTAAAACAAATCTATTTGAGGGTTCTTGGTCAAGACCACCATTCACACCCACCATGTTTCTTTGGTGAAAACCATCATAGATCAACAAGCACGCTGCTCATATCCCTACGGTGAGCTATTAGTCAAAGTGGGTGATATCCTTTTATTGGTTGACAAGGAGTACCAGTACCGGTGCGGTGATTGATCGACAATCCCTATTGAACCAGCTACCAGAACACAACTTCGTTAAATCTCCAGTTCTGCTTAAATCCCCATATTTGTTGCTGAATCTCCCCAGGATACAACTATGAAGCCATCACTTTGGGGTTGCATCCGTTCGAAGGAATCAAGTCATTCAGCCGGATTTGTCCCAAAATTATATCCGTTTTGTCCACATGAGCCCAATGCACCATGGGATTTTGAAGTTTTCTCAACATTTTCAGCTGTAGATTCAGCCAGGTTTTTCCATGTTTTTCCAACCCCGATGAAATCCCATCGTTTGGCGCTACCATGAAAAAGTGTGATTATTGGTTTTTGCAACTGGGCAACATTTCGAGTATCACCAAAATTTGTCATCCTTTTTTTGGTATCACCAAAATTGGTCACAACGACCCTTTTTACGGATCAACCATGATAAACCCAGTTAGATCAAAATTTTCCCATGCAAAACCAGGCCCAGCAGATCGTGTTGGTGGAATCCATTGCCTTCGCAGTCGTTGCGGTGTTGGTGAGTACTGTGGCCACCAGGCGCAGCATTTCTTCAGATATTTGAGGATTAACCATCAGAAATGGAGATGGTTCACTTGGTTAACCATGAGAAATGGATTTTTTTCTGATAAGTTCATCATGAAAATGGTATTGTTCACCCAGAAAACTGATGGTTTAACCATATGAAGAGGGGTTTTAACCGTCAGAATGGTGATTTGAGCAAAAACGGGATTCTTCCAGGAGAAATTGGCAGTTTTGACCAACGAAAATGAGGATGCAAACTGGCAAATATGGAGCGTTTAGTCAGCAAATATCATGGTGGTAAAGGTCTATCCGGTCCCAACAATACAGTGAAAGCATTTGACCACGCGACAATGAAGTAATCATTGAGGCTTTTCAGGTTACCATTTCAGCATCTCTGAAAAAATAACAAGCTGGGAATGTTGCTTTCTTTTTCAGATCCCAAATAACATGGAAATCCTGCTGATTGCAGCTGCGGTGCAGGCTGATTAATGAGCTTTTGGGTTTGGATGAGGCACGTCACTGTCTTTTCAACATCTTCCTGTGGCTTCCACATATCTCCTGTTGAGACACCTGGAAAGATGTTTATGTATGTATGAACAGATGGGATGTGTGGAAATATATAGGATCTTTTTCCCCAAACACATATCGGTGAGAAAAGATAAAATGTGGAAATGATCATTTCAGCAGCTCTTTGCCCGGCTTTGCCCTCACTCTGGTGCCCTTTTTCACGTGCTTCCTTGGATCCTTGGATGTCTCGCGGAGACTCGGACATCCTGACATCCAGCCGCCTCAGGTGACCCCAGAGACCGAGCCCAAAGTGGCAAAGCGCCTGGACTAGGCAAAAAAAACCACCGGGATGCCATCCACATGTCTGAAAAATGGGCTAGACTGTAGAGTATATCCTCAAAATTGTTAGTTTTATAGGGCAAACCATGATCAATTATAGGATTTTTGAGTACACTTTTAGACAAACCCACATGGTTTTTCAACCGGTGCTTGATATGCTCAGGGATTCCCCCGTCGCCATTGGCTCCAAGACGCCCCAGCCAAAGGCTGGAGCTGAATTGACGCAGCAGGGGACTGAAGACGAAGAAACGACCAACGACGAAGAAACGACCAACGGTTCCAAAGATTTGGAAGAAAGTCTTTAAAGCTGTCCTCCAATCTTTTGTGGTGTTGATTGTATATGATTTTGCAGTGATGTGAGTGATGTTTTCTTAGCCTCGTTTCGAAGATCCGACAGCCAGAGCAGTCTTTAGTGACCTGCTGCCGTGTCTCACCGTCCAGCAATAGCAAGTCTCAGCTGTATGTCCAGGTCATTTCAGAACAACTCTACAAAGTTTCCATCAACTTCCAAGACTTTGAAAGCTGCAGGGTTTTTGCCCTTTTCGCAATCCCAGCTTCTGACTTTTAAAGAGCCGAGTCGCTGTTGACCCTCGACCCTGGTGAGTTTCAATAAAAAAAACGTTGTAGTTTTTCGTGTGAAAGTTGGAAACCAGGCGTCGGGGTGCAGCGGCCATAGCCATGGCCACTCAATCGCTCCAAGCACGCTATGGAAAGATCACTCATTCAACCACTCGTTCATCGCCACCAGCTCCCAGGTAGGGCCAGATATCGGAAACCCCAGCAATTTATTCGTGGGAAACGTGGGAAACGTCAAGAATGTTCAAAAGTATCCATTGACATCCATTCAATGAATTGGTTTAAGGGAAATGTTACAGGAAAGCCCCATATGTAATGGGAAAATCTATGGTTTCCTGTAGATTTTCCCTTAAACCAATCCATCCATTGATGCTGCCAGGCCTCCTGGTGCGAGGCCCGAAGCCAGGGTTCGAGTTTTGTCTTGTCCGGCAAAACCAACTGCACATCTGCTGGAGTACTTTGTTTTTTAGTCAAAATGAAGCAAAATGGTGAATTTATATATATAATATATAATGCAATACTGTATTATATATCTATTTATATCTATATATATATATACATAATATACTAATCAGCTGAAGGTCTACTTTTCTACAGGGTATCCAAAGTTGGCCATGAAAACATTCATTCCATGTCTGTTAATCTCCGATTGAGTTCTAAAGCTAGGGCATCCTCTGGGTGTAGTTGCTCGTCTCAAGATATTGTTTTGTCGCGGTTGGTGGACCTCTATGCCCTTTCCAAAACTTCGCCTTTTGAAGTCTTAAAGGATAGATTGTGAGCTGCGCCAGGGGCATTCAGCAGATTCCCAGCTTCGCAGATTTCTACGATATGGGCAAAGAAGTGATGCCCTCGACACATAGATACATGAAGGTCCGGGTCACGGGATCACCATTTGTTTCCTGAAAAGATTCGCGGTGCATAGATGTTGGTGATTGGTGTTGGCATCAATTAGCAGAAAGTTGTAAATCCAACCCTCCAGCATCATCGCATCATCCAATATCTTCAAGCGAATTCGCAAGCTCAGTAGTATCAACGACCGGCTTTTTTTAACCCATCGCAGGTCAACTTTGCCACCAGAAAAACCGACAAGCAAGAGGTGCCGAGAACTTGCCGTCGTGAGCAATGACTAAGTACTCGTAGGCCCAGGCAGTTCAAGTTTTGGTCACGGAACAGAGACTGGTCCTCTGAGTGTCTTGCCTTGGGCCAAGATTCTCTCCAGGTAGTGGTGAAGGTTCGCTTCAAGCCTGCCTGTTTCCGTAGTCGTCAGGATCGATCGCAAGCGGAAGTGGTTTGGTTGGGGTGAAGCTGCAAGCACTGCAAGCTCTTGGTTTTTGTTCTCCGAACTTGCAAGAGTTGCTGGACCACTATCAAACGCTAGGTTTTCGCGTCTCCCCTGACAGGATGAGAAGAACTGGCGCTTGAATACAGAGTTGTCATCTCAGTCAACAAGGACAAACTCGCTGAGAAAATATGAGAAACCTTGGATGCATCGACGCTTTCTATGTTGTGGATACCACTGTTGCAGCTTCGGCACCGGTGAGCTTCTGCCGGGTGTTTTTGAATTTTCCTCGGCCATCCTCTTGATGAAGGTTCTTGCTGAATCTCCCGGATAGTATCGGCGTTGCTCGCGTCTATGAGGTCATGGAGGACTGTCATATGAACACCAAATACAATTGATGAACTCCTATAGCAACACCCATGTCTATCCAAATACAACTCAGGTTGCATCATCTATCATGATCACCCATTATCGAGCGTAGTTAGGCTTATTTATAACCAAATTGTGGCTTTGAGAAAGCCCTTTTTATTATTTTGTTGCACATTGAATGGGATTATGTGGGTATGAGTCAAGATTGAAGACCCAGAGGACTGCAATGTTTGTTGTCATTTTTCGTGCTGTTTCTAAAACGAAGTAGGGTAAAAGGGGTTGTAGGGGAGATGTGCATAGATATGCTGGAAAAGAATTTAGAAGAAGCTTTAGAAGCTGTTTGACTAACAGGATCCAACCGCCTTCTACGTCGTCATGGAGAAGGCAGGAGGGAACCGGCGCTCCGCATGGCCCACGCTGCGATCATAGCTGCAGGTCGGCGGCTTGGATCTTTTTGAGACCCTGGAGCACATGCGGAAAATACCGGCGTGGAACCCGAAACTGCAGCAGAAATCCAAGGAAACCCCAAGGGGGAAAAAAAGGAATTTTGCTGCTGCCCAACTTGATTGGATGGGTGCATGCATGTTTTGCGGAGTAATCTGCAGAAAGACTTGGTGGACTGCTCCTTTTTCGAAGCAAGACATTTGCAATCGATTGGATTTCACCCAGTTGCAAGAATGAAAGGGTTTTGTCATTGAAGTCATGAACTGCGATTTATCGAAGTCTATCGAAGTTGCCCTCTTTCTTGTGCCTGACTTCGGATGCCGCTGTTCACTTGATCGACGTGTCACTCTCCTAGGTCAGCACCACACGGGAGATCATGCGACAGCTGCTAGAGCTAGCCTGCCATGTTTTGCCGAATCGAAAAAACACTTGCCATGTTTCGCATGTTTCGCCGGCAGGTCCTTGGTCTTCTTGCACTCTCATTGTGCAGTCCACAAGGTGTGGTTCATCCATGCCGGAAGAAAGAATTTGTTTGTTCAAGTCCTTTCTGCAGCATATTCTTATTTTAGATTTGTTGATCAAATTGTGTGACACCAGGATTTGAAGCTGGAGAATGTCATGGTTGACTGCAGTGAAGCGTTAGCTGGGAAGTCCAAATCGATGTTATGACCTCAGTTTTGGTGGCCCTACTTTTGGGCTCAGAATTTGTAGAGCTATCTTGAATTGCTTAGGAAAGGGAAGTAGAAGCAAATTGCTTAGGAAAGGGAAGTAGAAGCAAAGCAAAGGACGAGTTTAAAGTGGACTCACCACTCTATCGCCCAGAAGTCCTTGTTTTCTCATGACTTTTGCTTCCGACTGACGATGTTACGATGTTGGTTGGTGTTCTTTCAAGCCGAGGTCTCTACAAGCAGTGAAGGCGTTCCCAAAACCTGGGGCCAAAGGGATGGTGAAGTCTCAGCAGAGTGTGTTTCATGAAAAAAATCTCCGATTTGCCGTGGTGGGTACTGTACTGTAAATGCAATGGCTTAGGAGACTTAGGAGTTATGGCTATGAGCAATGCAATGCACTCCAATGCATTGATAACCCAATGACCTGTCAAAACCACCTGAGTTTGGCTGCTGTCAGGTGATTGACTTCGACACGTTGGAATCATGGTCACCCGCCGGTTCCACGGCAAAGGCGCGGCGTGTCGCGAAGCAAAGAGGACGTTGTCAGAAACACATCAAGATATATCAAGATCATCAAGTCCTCAGGACGTGGTGGGCACCGATCAATACATTTCACAGGAAGCCTATGCGGGCAAGTGCGCCAAAGCTTCTCAGCAGATCAAAAGACATGACAAGAGTGTAAGAAGATGTCAGCACCAACGTGCTGTTTGCACAGGTATTCACCTCTCTCTGACATTTTTGCATGTGGGGTGATTCTGTACAGACTACTGACAGGACCGAAGCATTGCTTATGTTTTCATGGGATTCAGCGGGTTCTGTTAAACTACAGTTGTTTGTTGATGCCTTCGTATTTCTTTAGCTGTCCTTCCAGGAAAGTTCCCGTTTCACGACGACATGTTTGACGACGAGGTCGGGAATTTGGCACTGCTGAGGTCAGGTTTTGGTTCTTCCAGCTCTACAAGTGCCTTAAGCAGCTTAGCAATTGGGAATGGACCTTTCAATAATTTTCAATACCTTTCATATTTTAAACAAAAACGAACCATCCGGGAGAAGTGAAGTGTGCCCCGGATCCGTCGCTTTAGGCTGGCGAGAATTGGGTTGGTTCTCCAAAGATGGCCCAGATTCGCCGAAGGCTGAAGGTGGCCAAGGCCTGTGGACAGCTTTGGATTAGGAAAGGACTCTCAGCATTCAACAGAAAAACATCAACTATGTTGATCTGAAACAGAAGATTTTCTAAACTATATACATACATGCATCCATGCATCCATGCATTCATGCATCCATACATCCATCCATCCATCCATACATACATACATACATACATACAATATCATACAATATCATACTATATCATACTATATAATATTATATTATACATTTTTTTAAGAGATATATATATATACATATTTATTTGTTTATTATATATACATATGTACATATTTATTTGTTTATTATATATACATATGTACATATTTATTTGTTTATTATATATATATATTCATATTTATTTGTTTATTATATATATATATATGTATATCGATTTATTTATTTATTTTTATTTATTTATTTATATATATATATATGTGTGTGTGTATTTATTTATGTATTTATATATATATACTATATATACATATATTTATTTATATTTATATATTATCAGTTGTGATATTGTATGTTGTGACAAGGCTTGGGACCATCGGCTTTTGTGCAAAAATTGACTTTGTGCAGGTTGACTTCTCAAAGGAAGTCTTTCAGGAGCATCAAGACGCCACTGACCTCGCCAGCAGCCGAAGTAATTCTTCCTTGCTGCCAAGTGATTCAAAAGGCGCACCGTTCGCTCCATGAGGTCATGAGGATGTTGGCGTCTGGCACTTAACACCTCAAGTGCTCATTTTTGAAAGGCACCCACCTGCTTCGCCCTGCTTCATCGAAGCTCAGGTACCAGGAGAATCAGAGACCAACCGCTTCAGCAGCACTTGAACATCCCTGGTTTCAGGCAAAGTTGAAAGCTTCGTAATGTAAATTTCTCAGTTCAAAGCACATAGGAGAAGTTGTTATTTCCCAAGAAAGCTGGTTGATATCCATGCAAGTCCAAAACCGGAAAAGTTTTGAACCACAAAATTGTTGTGGATAAAGCCGCCCTGCCGACAGGATTCCAAGGCTGCTCCGCAGGTGGTGCCTGACGTGCAGGACACCGTGACACTAGGGAATCACACTTTGATTGAAAAGATGCTCTCTTGGCTAGGAGCTGATTGACGATGGAATCGTGATTGGTGAGGTGCAGCTTGACTTGGGAAGTGTTTCAATCAATGAAAGAGTTGCTCATTGGATTTCTCGGTTGTGGCAGGCAGAGTGAGCCAACATACGCTCCACAATTTGTGTGAACAGATTATTGTCGAAAAAAAATCTGACCACTATATACATATTTAATATATATATATATATACATATATACATACATACATATCCTTAAGAATGAAATGGGAAATTGAAAATTAATTTTGAAATTATCGGTAGATTTAAATTAAATTGTATTTCAAAAAAGCCCGATCTGATCCTCAAACCCGAATCTACGTTACCGAAAGAACATTTTCATACAGCAACTTATTACACAGTCTTGCACATTCTTACCACAGATTGCAAACTGTGGAGAGCAGGTTGCAAAGTGTGGAGTGTAGAGTATGTAGTGTAGAATTTGGGGTGGGGAGTCGGGAGCGTAAAGTGTAGAGTGTGAGTGCGGGGTGCAAAGCGCAGAGTGTGGGGTATGGAGAGTGATCGTGGAAACTGGATGGAGTGTGGGTGCGCGGTGTGAAGTGCAGAGTGGACTCTAAAGCATGGAGTTTTGAGTGTGGTGGGGATTATAGATTACAGGAGTCGGGGAAGTGTAAAGGGAAGAATATTAGGTGTAGAATGTGGGGTAGGGAGTGTGCGGTGTAGAGTGTGGAGTTTGGGAATGTGACCTGTGAGTATGGAGTGGAGTCGTGGAATATAAAGTGCGGAGTGCAAAAGGGCGGGTTGGGAAATACGGAGCGAAAAATAAAAAAATATATTTTATAAATATTATTGAAAAATATTTATTAATATTATTTTGAAATTAATAAATACAATAAAAATAAATTATATTTATATGTTTTTTATTTGTTTTTTTATTTTATTTTTTAGTATGAAAGTTGGGGTTAGATTATTAGTTAATAAAAAGGTTTATAAAAAGTAAATAATTTGATATTAAATATGTTTAATTAAATTATATATGGAAATTAATTTTAATTAATTAAGAAATATATTATGTTTTATTATTATTTTTTGAATATGTTTTTGATATATTTAATGATTATATTTAGTTGGATTTATTTTTATTTATAAAATATAGAAATTGATATTATTTTTTAAATGATTTATTAAATATATTTTTAAAATATTTATTTTATAAATTTAATATATATATATATTATTGGTTTAATTATTTAAGTTAATATTTTATTTGTTTATATATATTATTATTTTTAATATTTTTTTTATATATTTATTGTTTATATTTTGAATTTTTGAATTAATAATTATTTTATTTTTTTATTTATTTTTTTTAATTATTTATTTTAATAT